GGAGAGACATGCTGCTTCTTTTGAACTGTTCGTAGGTCAGGTAAGGGCTAAACCTTGCCTGTTTAGAGCATTTTTCTTTGCATCTTCAGTTTGCTAGGGCTGCATTATGCACCGAGAGGTAGGTACATACTTATTTTTTCAGGATCTAGCTACATCCTTGGACTTGTAAAAGGAGGCGGGAAACTTCTGACACCGAAGCAGGTGGTATATATGTGCGTTTGGGAAGCATGAATGATTTTGGAAGGAGTTGGGTGTGCATTTTTTGGAGTGTGCGCACCTTTGGAGTGGTGCCTTTTGATGGGCTTGTGTTGGGTTCGGAAAGCTTTTACATTCCACCTTCCGGTGAGAGCGAGCCTCCTTCTGCCTTCTCTCTGACTATAGCTTTAAGTGGTTCTTGAAGAAATTATCTTCATGGCTGGCTTTTAGCCTCCTACCTTTGTAGCAAAGCATGAATGCTTCCCTTGTCTTGCCCCTGCCCTGATGGATTAGGCTGGTTTGGGGTTTTTTTTGTTTTTCATTAGGCTTTCCATTATCCCTTTCACTTCAAGATTTGCAAGGCCTTTTATCCCAGTCTCATTATAATGTCTGTCCCAGCTTAGTTACTGTGCATGTTGTGCAGAGAGTGAGCAACATAATGCTCTGACCTAGATGCAGGGAGCGTATTGCCAGAGGCTCAGCAGTTTTCTCCTGAGCTGCAATTACGTGGAATGGCACAGAGGTTTCATTGTGGTGCTTTACAGCTAAGAGGAAGAATCCTACTTCTTCAGCGGGTCAGAACTGCCAAATCCCAAACATAACACCACCTTTGTTTAATTAGTGATCACTGAAATTATAGTTTGTTTATTCTGTCTTGAATTCACCCTAGAAAATAAATGTATTAGCCTGACGATTAAGCAAGGAGCCATAAATCAGCATTAGAATGAGCCGAGTGCTGTGTGATGTGCCGTTCCATCGGTGTAAACAGTTACACTCTCACATAAACTCAGCGGTTGAAAGATGCAGAATGTGTCGGATATTGTAACTAGACGTAAAAATCCACTGAATCAAGCTGTGTGGGCATGAGGACAAAATGAATAAGATAATGGTTTCGTCAGGGAGGCTGTAAAAGATTTATAAGTTTTGCAAAATGGTAAATCATTCTGTAAATGAATTCATTCAAGCTTTTTTTCTTTGCAAAAAGGGAGTATGTGGTAACAGTCTGATGATTTGTGCATTTATCCGCAGCGCACGTGCGTACATGTGTCTGTATATATACTTCAGCTTTTCATTTGAAGAGTTAAAGGGTTTATCAGCATGTGATCAAAAGGAAATTTTATTTTTATAGGCTGCTCCTAAGCATGTTGTGTAAGCAGGCAAATCCTGAGCAAGTGTCTGTGCACAACGATTGACTCGAGGGGGATAAATTGCTGAATTTGTTTCCCTTCCTTGGGTGCTTCTTCATAATAAATGCATCGATTGAAAACACTGTTGTTGGTGCAGTCGCGGACACAGGCTTTGGCGTAATTAGGCTGCAGCTTTGGTACCCGGGTACACAACTCCTTTGTACCCTAACGCTGCGGTGTCTGAAAAGCTGCGCAGCAGCACGACACGTCTAGAGTGACCGGGGTGAGGTGGGGTGTAAATTCAGGGCGTGTGAGTAAGTGCCCCTGTCCTTGCTCCTGCCCTGAGGTAAGCAGCATGGACCAGGCCTGTTTTCACAGAGGGATAAGCTACCTGTCCGTCAAGCTGCACAGCGAGGCAGAAAGCCATACGAACAGTCTCACCGGTACTGTGCGTCCAGGCTCCTGCTTGGCTTACAGCGACGTGTCCGTTTGCCCGCGTGCTCCCAGGCTGAAGGAGCCCGTGCTCTCCTAAGGCACAGGGCAGTGCACTCGTGTCCCGCAGCCCTGGATTCTCCCCACGCCCTTTTGGCGGCTTGCTTGCCTCAAGCCATGTTTCTAGTGTTGCTTCTGCAAGGAAGGACAGTGATATTTACTGACTTCCCATGGCCCTTGGCAATTGTTGGTGAGGAATTAAGGAGTTTAACATCTGAACTTGCTCAGGAATTTCAGGTGGTTGTAGGAAATTCAGGTACGATTACCCTACAGAAGGAGAACAAGACAAAATACTGCATAGGAAGAAAATCAAAGCTTGCAAGGCTTTCATGAAAGCAAATGCTAATATTACAAATATTAGGAGTTCCTCACATGGAGGACTTTGTTATACTGCTTACAAGAAGCACACCTATTCTATAGACTGATTAATAACTAAAGCACTGTTTGGGGCTTTTTGTTTTTTTTTTTTTATGGCCAAAGACACTTCTCTGTTGAACATCAGGGATAAGGCAAGGATCAAATGGTGCAGGATTCAAAATGCTTTTGTTTGCACTTAGAATCATAGAATGGTTTGGCTTGGAAGGGACTTTAAAGATCATCTAGTTCCAAGCCCCCTGCCATGGGCAGGGACACCTTCCACTAGACCAGGTTGCTCAAAGCCTCATCCAGCCTGGCCTTGAACACTTCCAGGGATGGGGCATCCACAGCTTCTCTGGGCAACCTGTTCCAGTGCCTCACCACTCTCTCTGGGAAGAACTTCTTCCTGATATCTAATCTAAACCTCCCCACTTTCAATTTAAACCCGTTACCCCTTGTCCTGTCACTACAGGCCCTGATAAAAAGTCTCCTCCCAGCTTCCTTGTAGGCCCCTTCAGGTACTGGAAGGTGCTATAAGGTCTCCACTTAAGCTAGAAGCTATCAAAGCTGTAATTTCTGGAGAAAGACTCGATTTTTCTAATCAAATTTGAGATTAGGGTTTTCTTGTATGTGCATATTTTTCTTCTACGGCATCAAGAACAAACAGGTGTAGAGGACATATGGTTTTCACATTAGCCTAACAACTCATCCTAGGGGAAATACTATTAAAACTTGTGTCGTAAACTTCACAAAGTCCAAGAAAGGTCTAAGGCCAAAGCTTACAGAGTAATCAGCAGGAGTTTCTTTGTACCGTTCTTTACTTGACTGCCGTGCAGCAGATTGAGTATTTAAAGAAGTTAAATCACCTATCTGTGGCAGTCCAGCCATAGTTACAAACAATTTGCAACAGGAATTCCTTAGGGATCAGATCATACTACTGTGTGCGTCATGAAAACTTGGCCAGCTGACAGAAGACTTCATTTGCTGATTTGACCTAAAATATAAAGATTTTCATTCCTGTATAATTGCATTCATAAAATGTTTCTCTAGTTAATTATTTCCTTTTAACGTCTGCAATTTAAAGGGATTTTACAAGAACAAAAATTAATTGACTGGCACTTTGTGTCTCCTGACCTACATACATTGAAGTGTTTCACCACACGCCAGACAGCAAAGGCATCCGTTCATGAATGTACGTATCTGAAGTTCGTATTTATACGTACTGAATCTACATCAATATTAATGTCACTATTGCTAATTTAAAACATTAAATCAAACTGAAATCATTTTGGGTAGCTAAATCACAGAATCACAGAATGGTTTGGGTTGGAAGGGACCTTAAAGATCATCTAGTTCCAACCCCCCTGCCATGGGCAGGGACACCTTCCACTAGACCAGGTTGCTCAAAGCCTCATCCAGCCTGGCCTTGAACACTCCCAGGGGTGGATTTGCCAGATATATTTGTTATTCAGACCTGCCAGAAGATAAAACTCCTGCTCCACAGAGCTTATTGTTCTAAGATCGTTTCAAAATGTTTGGGTTTTGGCAGTGAGGCCATACACCTTTGCTTTCAGGCTACGAAATGCCACCCTACCCGGGTTAGCACAGGCCTCTCGACAGCAGCGTAACTCTACAAAATGGTCACTGCACAGTGTGGAGGTTGAGGACTCCGAGCGTGCTGGTGCCTGCCTCCTAACCCGCTCACAGTCCTGCAGTGTGTTTGCTGTCACGCCTCGTGTCCGCTTCCTGAGTTTCTTTTCTCTGGTCGGGATCCTTCCCATTAATAAGCAAAAGATGATGAGAGGTAAGGTACAGTTAAGAGGGAAGCCTTAGGCTTAGTTAGTTGGGAACAACTAGATGCTTTCATGATTTTTGAAGTGTTTTTTTGGGGGGAAATATTTGCTTTTATTATTCTGTAATTTAAATCATTAAGATGCTAATAAATATGGCTGCTTTTTATATATGACTATCCATAGATTTTCCAAGATTTATTTACTTATACCAGTGTGACTGTAGGGTACAACCTGTGGAATTTGTACTTTGCCAGGCTTCTAAGGCTTTCACATTACAGTTAGCGCAGTGAGTGGGCAGGTCACTGTTGGAAATCTAGCGCTCTCCGAAATGTCCTGGGCGTGGAAAAGGACTCCAAACTCTATGTTTAATTCCAGCCCGAGACCTAGAACGTGGAGAGAATAACGGCTGTAGCCTTGGGTTGATGGGAATGTGGGATGCATGCTGATGGTGGAAGGAGTAAGTTTATGCTGCACTCATGCTCCCCTGGCCTCGTTGGAGGGGGTCCCGGCAGCAGCCCTGCTTATTGCCGTGGGGTGCGTCTGTGCCAAGCATTGGCCACCTTCTGCAGCGTCAGCAGAGAAGTGGAAATGAAGTGGGGGGGATTTTGCAGTACCCCTCAGAGGGCATTGGAGCTCTGCCGCTTGCGTCAACGCTCTGCAGTCAGGGCCAAAAGGATTCAGAGATTACTGCTGGGACATGGAGTTCAGCGAGCGCCGCCGTACACCCAGCGTGACCGAGAAAGGCACGTCCACTGCATTCATTGCATAGGCTGCTTGCATCAATGTCTCAGCAGGTATCCTGACACTTGGATAGTCTGTAATGGTTGCAAGTGTTCAGATGTAAAACTGTCGGAGAAAAGAGGCTTACTTATTTTAGCAGTGCTGACCCTATCAGCTAAGTAGGCCTAGTTCCCTTTCTAATAACTTAGGGCTTTATTAAGCCTCTTTCATGGGAAAATGCCAAGGCTTACCACTAAACCCAAGTGAGTGAGAGTATCTGTGATACTACCATGCATGCTATACTTAATATTTTAAGCACAGCCCTTGAGAGGAAAACTAACACTTTCTTTTGTTTCATCAGGCTGACTTCGATCAGGCTGCAGAAGACGTAAAAAAATTGAAAACAAGACCAACTGATGAAGAACTGAAGGAACTGTATGGATTCTACAAACAGGCCACTGTTGGAGATATTAATATTGGTATTCCTATTCCTATATATGCCTCACATTTACTCCCCTATCTTGATGAAATCAAGCAATGTTATGTAAATCTGCATGATAATCCAAGGTATGCCTTTATTTTGGCAGAATGTCCAGGAATGCTAGATTTGAAAGGCAGAGCCAAATGGGAGGCGTGGAACCTGAAAAAAGGTGTTACACCAATGACATTTACATCACGTAGTCGTGTTTATAGGATGACAAATGAGGAAAGATAACGACTCCTACTTTCCTTTGCAGGTTTATCAAAGGAGGATGCCATGAATGCCTACATCTCTAAAGCAAAAGCAATGGTAGAAAAATACGGGATTTAGAATACTCAAAATAATTCCCACTAATAACTGACCCTTCAGTAGCTATTGAACTAACTGTTGAGAAAAACGTAATGCTAACTCCCTACCGTGCCGTCTGACAGTAATATCTTTTAAGCATAAACTTAAAACTGTAAAGGGTGTGTACGTACATACTCTATTTTTAGACTGTATCTTATTCTAAATAAATTTGAACCTAAAAATTAATCTTTCAGTAAGAATTGTGTATTTTTGTGTGTCTGAAATTATATTTAGCATTTTTACAGGAGCACACCTTTTTTACAGGAGCTCTCATTTGTTTGCAAACAAGGTTATGGAATGAACTATAGGGTTTGTGCACATGAAAGATAAGAGGGAAAAGACAAAAACTTTTTTAACACCCAAAGCCAATGTTTATTTTAAAAAAAGATAGAAGAACTCCCCCTCTTACAGGATTATAATAAAGATCTGGAGGAACAGAACAGGTCGTAGGCATAACTGTATGCAGTTGTACAGAAAGAATGACTTCTCGTGAAGTGCTGTGGAGTAATCTTACAACTCCCCTCATTAAAACAGAGGGAAATGCTCACAGATCGGCATTTTCTATACATCTCGTTATGTGTTTTGTCAAGAAAATGGCATTAGAAGGTTCCAGCAGATAAAAGTGACCTCCAGGAAGGTTGTAAAAGGAAGTGTCTCCACTTGTTAGACTGTGCCAGGCTGAAAGAGATATTTAAAGTGTCAGAGAAATGCCAACAATTGTGGTCATTGTACATAACTATTTCAAAGTTATTATTTAATAATTATTTTCAATCCCATACCAACTGTTTTAGTTCATACATCGAGACTGCTCTGCTGATGTGTTTAATTTAAGAAGGAGATAAAAGACTCTAGAAAACTCTTCATAACTGACTTGATACAACTGGAAAATGGGTAAGTGGAAGAGGAAAACCATTTAAGCAAAGTACCTTCTAAATCATGTGGTTTATCTTCGGACCCATTAAAGCAGGTAATATCACAAGAGAAAGGGATATTCCTGTCTGCCTTCTCAAAACTGTGGACATAAAAAGTGGTAATAAAACTTTCTGTAAAATACCTGTATTTGGAGTTTGCTTCCATGTACAAAATAGCTTTTTCTTTCTCCTCCAAAACATAACAAACTTCAGGAATAAGATTGTGCAGAACCTCAGGAGAAGGAATTACTGTATCTGTAAGATTCTTAGCTCCTTACCCTGCTGCAAGGTCTACTTGCAGTACTGCTGCGGTACTACTACCCAACTACCTAGGTCTAACATTTTAAAGAAAGAATGACCCAACAGTTAGGAAGGAAAAAAAAAAAAAAAAAAAAAAGAGCTTCGAGCTGCAGTAAAAATTCTCACCTAGCCCACAAAATTGTCTGCTTATATTCAAGTTCTGATGTTTCGGGGCTTTCTCAGTGCCAGGTTCCTATGGCCAACATGAGTCCCGCATCCAAGAGTGTCCTTCCTTTTGTCAGGATAAGAAACCTCAACCACTCAGCCATGTGAGCTGTTGTGTAACATCCAGTGGGGACAGCAGTTAGGACAGAAGCAGCCCGTTGCCCTCTAGATGCCTAGAACACAGGGATTCTTTGCTTCTGGTTAGGAGAGGGGCCCTTGGATCAGGAGGTTGAATGCAGTGAATCATAATCATCATCAGTTGAGCTTATTAGTCTCAGGAAACAATAACAGAAGTGAGACTATTCCTTTTAGTGGCTACTAACTTTGGATCCTAAGTAGAACTGTAATTCTACTACAGTAGTGAACACGTCATGGTAAGAGCAGTGTTTGCTACAGTAAGCAGTGTTTTCAGCTAGGGCTTCAATACTGGAATATAGATGGAAAAGCCCACAAAGGAGAAAACTACGTTTACTGTTTCATATTCTTTTTATACCATAAATGAGAACAATTTACAGAGAAAGAAGAAAGAAAACCTGAAACAATCAGACAGAAGTAAAACTGTAAAATGCAAATATAAATGCAATACCAAGTTGTAAAACTTACGAAAATGTCTGAAGAACTCGAAGGTCTTCTCTGAAAACCAGCAGCAGATCTTTCTTGCTGTCTTCATTCTGCAGAAGCGTAGAAGGAGTTCCTCCAAAAATCTCTATCTGTGTAAGAATTTCTTCATCTTCTGTATCACATATGGGTATGCTTTTGATGGTACGAAACGCTTCAGACTGTCAGCACCAGAGAAAACAGGTCAGTGTTGTATATAACATACTCTACGTTTCATTAAGAATTGTTTTTGTGAGAAAGTACAATGATTCTTTGTCTCCAAAATACAATGGCTGATTAGTTTAACATCCTCAGAGAATAATTGGAAAGGGTTAGTAGACTGGCTGCTGAAAATAGTTTACAGGTGAGACAAGTACCCTCAAGGTCTGAAACTTCCACAGACAAGTAACCATTAATTTAATTTTGTTCAAAGTTTGACTCTCACTATTGAAATATAACTGATAAAATAATCTATTTAAGAGAAAGAAAAGCCTGGCAGTGGACACAAATATGACTAATGTAGGACTGCAGAGACCAACCCATTATGGAAATTTGCAGGAATAATAATTGCTTCTATGAAGGACTAGCTTGTGCTCAGGATTCCTAAGAAGCCCCAGGACCAGAAGAATGGAAATAGCAAATGATGCCTGGGAAGGGCTGGGAAGAAGCCACTTAACCCTTGTTTTGCTGAGAGGGACTAGCAGAACCATCAGAACCTCAGAAGGGACTGAGGACAGATTAAAAAGCCAACAAAGAATGAGGAGGAAAAGAAATAGACAAATATACTGAGGGCTGGTGCAGGACGTTTATAAGAGACTAGGCTAAGACAGTTAGTTTGCATGTTACAGAACAAGGAGTGGAACTTTGTATTTTGTTTTGATTACTTTCTAGTATTAAGCCAAAGGCCATTGGAAATGATACAGTATTCCAAAAAGGTAGCGCTAGCTTAAAGGAGACTGTTCTCCCTGGGCTAAGGTTAGCAGCAGTGACTGTTCTTGAATGTGAAATTCTCTGTCCACCTCAGAATTCATTTCCTCTGAGAAAAGGAAGCAGTGCTTGGTTTGTATTAAAGCCACTCTGCATACCATACTGTAAAATGTTATTTTTACGCTTGGTAGCTGACATACTGGTTTGTATCGTACTGTTAATGATTCTGTAACTTACGTTTGGGGCATGTGCCCCCGACGCAAAAAGATGGATCGGCTCTAGTCCATACTTTTCTTTCAACTGTAGCGCAACTGCAAAACTAATATAAGATCCAAAGCTGCAGTGAAAAGAGAAGTTGAAGCAAAATAAGCAAGCACATATGTAAAAACAGGCAAATGTAAACATGATTTGAATTTCAGTGATAACTGTCTATCTCGAACAGTTACTGAAACCGTATGACATGTAAATGATAGTGATACTAGCAAATTGAAATGACGTGTATTCTTACACAGTCCAGTTTTACAAATCAGACCTTTTTTTTAAATCTCTCTTTTATTAGTCTCTTTAATTTGCAGTAAGAACAGTTATTTTGAATTCTTGGGACTAAGTGATCTGCAAAATCTGTGTTCTATGACTGGTTCACCCACTGCATGCAAACAGAGTAAGCACTGACACAAATATAAACAGTAAATACAATTATAATTTATCAGTGTAAGAAAAAAAATAAAAAAGACTTTTTAGAAGACATTGTGCCTGAAGTAGGAAATAACCAGTCTGAGATCAACAGCATATTTTAGGATGACTTGACAAAAGACCTTTGCAGAAGTGTATTTTCCTAAAGTTCTTGCAAATAAAGGCAAGTAACGATCTACTCCTGGAGGTCAAAGATAAAGCTCCTTCACGGGGTTATCTAAAAATGTACCTATTTTTACCTGTGACCAAAAAATGCAAATGGTTTTTCTTGCAAGTTTTCTAACAAAACACTTGTAATTTCATTAACTACGGTGGTCATGTCTTTTGCAAAAGGCTCCTTAAAACGAGATTCTCTCCCGGGAAGCCTTACAGAGGACACTGCAGAAGAGGTGGAGGAAGGGAGGGAAAAGAATTACAGTTAGTTCAAACAGAAACAGTAAAATAATTTTAATTAATTCTTTCAATCTATTCTGCAGAATAGATAGATTATTTAAATCAATCCTTCTTACAGTGTATTTGCTTTTGCTACTACTGTCTTTAATCCTGGGAGAGGTTAGGTTTCCATCCCTTCCTTTACTCACAAGTGTTGCCTCTCCAATTGATCTGACTGATAAATGCCTTGGGTCAGAAATCCACAAGGTCCTGACATCACCTGAGGTTTCAAAGCATCTTTAGTATTAGTAACAGCCACAAATTCTTTCATTTTAATAACAGTAAGTTTGAGGGTTGTGTAAAGTATATCTTTTCAAGGGCAGCATTAGAAAGTTAACCTATAGTGGAATTGTACAGCCCCTGTTTTCTTCTTTGCAAGCTCTTCAGCACTGCACGTAGTAAAATGTGGAATCGTATAGATTGGGTCAGGCACAAAGTGTTTTAGAAGAGATACAATAAACCACTACCTAATACCATGGAAAGCAGTACAGAAATGTTTGCATCTTTTGTACTTTCTTTCTGCACAAAACATCTCTGACAGAGCATGCTGCACTCTGATTTTATTCATCTGTGTCTGCAGTGGCTCCTATGCCATCTCCTCAGAAACTTGGTTGGAAGTAGTTCCAGTGGACAAAAGCTTTCTTCTTCCTTCCTGTTTAAGTTTCAAGGAAAATTTGACGTGACTTGTGCAACTGTTTATGGAAGGCATGCAAGCATTTACGGGACTGGTACAATTGCAATGGCAATGCTCTCTCTAAATCCTAATCACTATTTTTTTCCTTGTAGAAGGTCTGGAAAACAGCCTTGATTCCTCTTCAAATAGTTCAGCAATGGATCTTTTTAGTGCCAATAGAGCCTGAATTGCAATGAGAATTACTTCACAGTGTAACGAAATGTCATTTCAGTGTTATAAATCCATGGTTTAAACTTCAGTTTTGATACAAGGAGTGCAAAACCATGCAAACACAGAGGATAATGGCAATTCATTATGTGCAGTCTCTCAGTATTAAAAGTAGTTCTTATATCTTCAGCGTTAACCTTGCCGATGCCTTTTTTTAACATTAATGGTATGCCAATGTATTGCTGTTTCTGAATCATTCCAGTAGTTTCTGAAGCATTCAAGCATTATAGTCTTGTGAAATATAGCTCTGAGGATATAACTTTTTAACCTAGTCAAATATAATTTGATCCAAGGTGGTACAGAAACTTAGTAAACTCAGCACCATAAGGGAAACGCTAATTCCTAATGGAATTCCTTTTTGGGTAAGACCCATTGGAAAAAGATTGCAGTGCTCTCAAGAACATTATATTCCATTCAAAAACTTTGGCTACCATGTATTTCAGACTTGCTTAACTTCTGCTTTAACTACACGAATGACTAACCTTCAATTGAGCTGCTGAAGAGTTTGCCCCATTGAGCAAACTGAGAGGTTCCACCTCCGGCCCACGGAAAGCAAATCAGCCTACAGAGAGCATTTGGCTTTTTGTATGGACAAGCAACCACCTTCTCCATTCCTAAAAAAAAATACCCAAGAAAACATGACATCATTCTAGAACAAGATTCTTCAGGTATAGGAAAATTAGAGTGAATTAAGTCTAATATGAATCAAGGAACTGCAATACTTTCTGTCAGCAGAACTGCTTGTGCCACAGCAACATGTTAGATGCAAGATAATCTTCATGCGACAGTGGAAACCAGTTTTGCTTTTATAAATGGTGATGGAATAGTATTGGGCAACACCCTTAGTATTTTCTCCTATTTGAGTCACTGACCTCGAAGAATGTAACAAGCAACGAAATAGACTGATACGGTATTTCAGGATGACCATTTAAAAACACAGGCTTTTAGAACATACACAAAATTATAAGGTCCATCTAAAGACCTAGAAAACATAAGAACCACCCAGTTCAATATTCTGTCTACTGCAGGGGAAAAATGGGCATCTGGGGAACAGCTGCATGCCATTTCTTTATATATAGGAAACATCTATGAATTTCTCTTTCATGTATCTATCCACTCTCCCTTTAAATTCCTACAAACAGTTGGCATCTATGCCATCCTCTTGCAGTGAGTTGCACGGCTCTACTGCTGCACAAAGAACGACCTCCTTTTTTTGTTTTTAATCAGACTGCTACAGCTTCGTTTGATAGCCACAGGGTAGTATGGTAAAGAAAGTCAGTGCTGCATCTCCCAGGATTTGCCACGGAGCATTTCTGAGATCTTCTGTCTTACTGTCTCTGCTCTCAGCTCTTTTTGCTGAATGAAAAGGCCTGGCTTGCTCAGGTATCCCTCGTGTGGCAGTGCTTCCATACTCACAACCATCATTGCTGCCGATCTTGTTAACATTCTTTTTGAGAGGGTGGAGTACCCTGAGCCACATTCAGCTTTCTCACAGCAGCTTTAGTATTTTTGTTTGCTAACTGAAGTTGGCAGCTGAAGCAAGGTTTGTAACTACTCCTTCCTTCTTGCTGAGAAGGTGAAACAGTATCAAAGATGCCAACTGCATCGCCTCTGGCACCAGATAGTGTCTTTACTCTCTGAAGAAAGATGCATTTTTCAACCATTTTTATTCTTCATTCCCGATTTTCTTGTCCTTTATTCTTGCTGATTAGATTTGTGGACATGAGCACCGAGGTGACATCCTACTACTGATAGTGCATCAACCTGTGTTCTGTCAAAAGAACCTGGGAACACCATGTGCAACAGAAATACCTGGTAAAGATACATTAATTAGCAGCAATAGTGATACAGAATTTTAAAAAAATGTTTTCTGCAACCATTAGAATAAACTCACATGTTCTTGTTAAAAAGACTGAAAAAAGTAGTAATTAGGGGATAACAAGCAGCAAAATTCCATTTCCAAAATGCTGCAAATTGCTAAGGGTATTGTCTTGCTTTGAATATAGCGCAGTGTATGATTCATCATGAAATACACTTACATGCCTACCTGCAGTGGTTTTTACCTGCACAAAAGGCTTGGGAAATGCAACCAGATCAAAACAGGCAGTAATTCATACCTATCTGAAACCACATAATGCAAGAAAGAACACAATCTACGCAAGTGTTGCTGTGGCAATTTCTTGATTTTCACGTATGTTTAAACCAGCAAGTTTGTTAACATTTGTTAAGAATAACTTCCAAGAAACTACAAGAAGAGCAAGCTAAAAAAAGTTGTATCAAAAATCACTGGGCAGACAATGTGAGCTAAAAATAGCTGAACAACCAGTGCTGCAGAAGACACAATTCCTGAGGTAGATTCATTTAGGTTCAGCACCATCAGTCCTACTTAGTCACTTCTTCCACAGAAAGGCACAAACATTTCGAACATTTCGGAAGCAGTGTTTTAACATGACAGAAAAGAAAATTCTCTTCTCAAACTGATTCCAGAGGTGATACAAAAATGTCAAGCATGATAAAGCAGCACATTTAGTCCAAGTCCTTAAACTACTTGCAGATACATTATCCGTCACCGAAAATCTGTCACAATTTCCAGCTTATGTTAGCTGCAAATACCTGAACAGTCGGGGAGACCCCCAGTGCCAGGAGATGACAGTCCGAGGGTGGATCCACTTCTCAGCGCAGCACGGCAAGGAGCAGGAATCACAATTTGTAGGTATTTACGGGACAAAAGCCAGCCTTGCAGGGGAGGGGTATGTGCATCCAGGTGGCACAGCCGCCGGCTTTTTAAATCTTTTCTAGGCTTAAGGGGAGGAGCCCACAGCCCGGAAGAAAAGCAGGGACCGAGGCACACTGCATCCCAAAAGGGAGACAGAAGCATCATGTGCTAGGTGTGACACATAGCATTTGGCAGCAATCTAAGGAAGGCGCGCTCCATCAGTCCCGGTGATGTAAAAAGCACGGGTTAACATGCCCACGACCGTACAGAAGTAGTAGCAGTTTTAATACTTGGAGTCCCACAACCTCAATGAAGAAAACTCCTGCAAGAAGTAGGCATGAAAAGCCAGCCTTTTGTTAAGAACTATATGCAAAAGTACAGCGCTCTGATCTCCACTGGTCAGTTCTGTAGGGGTCTGGAAATGGGAATGTAGACAACCATCACCTGATTTGCGTAGAACACTGCACATTGTTAGTAGGCCAGTTGTAATTTCTACAAGCTGGAAGACATAGCGATGCACAAACAAGACTGTGGTTACATACGATGACTTTATATTAGCATGTTGTATCAACAGGTTATGCTCCCGCTGACAACATGCTATCAGGAACCTCAAAACACCAGTGTATTTTGTAACTGTACATGTAGTACTAGGGAGGTCGGCTGTTTATTGCTTTGTTTTTCTTTTTAGTGCTACTCTACCAAAAATATCACTAACAATAATAACTTAAAAATATTAAAAAGCAGTGACCAAAACTAAGGAACTTGAGTGCCAAAACGGGTTCTGGTGCTTAACTTGAGAGACATAAGCTGGACTATTCTGTGGTTTTCACATTATTCTTTGTTATTCTACATTTCTCTTCGTCATTTCTAGGAAACAGAAGAATCTTTGGTGTTAAGAGAAAAAGCATGCTCCTGAGCCCTCCAACTGCCAGTTCCAAATGGCAAAATTGGAAACTGTTGCTAAGGCTTCTTTCACAGTACTTTTATGTTGTAATTATAATGAAGTAAGATGAGGCACACCTAAGTTTGGAAGGTACCTCATTTAAAACAGCTTATATTGGCTAGTCCTGACCTGTGCTGTTATGCCCAATACTGCTCGTCCACATGATGTATCTGCTATCAGAGGTATTTAATTATAAGGCACAGTTTATATAGAGCACCTAATATGCTTTATTTGTTCCTACCTCAAATTGTGCCTACTGTAAAATCTGACACCCAATGTTAATGTTATGAAAGCCAGGTGTTATAAACATCAGGCCCCATAATAATGTTCCTAGAAGCAATAAAATACTACTGGAAACAATTATTTCATAATGAAGTTTGTAAATAAAATAGGTTAAGTATAGCATTAATCAAATAGCATGATATTTCCTTAAAATTAATTAAATTATAAATTGTATGTGTTGGTTGTTTATGTTTGCTGTACCATCACTGAATACAGCAGGATAATCACCTCTCTTGACCGGCTGGGTGGGGTCGGTTCCCCCCCCTCTTTCTCCCTCTGC